AATCTGCATCTTCCAGAAACTAAAATTGGATCCATCGAACTTTTCAATTCCAATCTTTGAAATTTCCATCTTCACAGATTGTGGTGAATTTCGCCTCGCTCTAATACCAGTTGTTAGGATCGCTCAACAACGCACACACTCGATCAAGATGAACACAAAGAACTAGAGAGAGAAAATACAAAGAGGAATATTGGCTAAAGGTTTTATTGACGACTCCAAGTATGTACAACAATATAGAATACAGAGAAGGAAGAAAGTACATTTTGAGAGCACGGACTAATGGGGTATATATATGGTTTCAATTTAATAAATATAACTTCCAAAGATTTAAACCTACAAGATATAATCTAATAAATATATTTCTATCAAATCTTTACCAAATATCTTCCAAATATATCATGTTCGTGATACGATGTGACTATTAGATGATACGTGAATATTATGACATGTGTTATGATGTGATGTACTAATGATATGATAAAATGTTATGGTGTAACACATTTGACGATATATTACATGATATGATATATGCATGATATAACAAAATGCATGATATGAATTACGACAAAATGTGTCGACATGATGCACAACTCCGAAATTTGCATGGAAAGTTATGATAATGATATAATATGAAGGAAAACAAAATAGGTTTGTTTTAGATAATAAATGAAAATGTTAGGACCTCATGCATCATTGTGTGTTCATGCATCAGTGAATATTCCCTTATTACGACGGTACGTACATGTACATTATGAGACAGGAAAATGATCATTATGTTTATCATAATGCTACGACGGTCGCTATTCCTAACTGGTGTTTGACATTAGCAGCTCTAGAGAAGGCTTGCCCGAGAGAAAGGGCCAACTGGTGGGCTCATACTCACATGTGTGAGTCGTATGTAGAACAGTAAATACACATCCAATTACCCATTTAGGATAGCCGCCTAAAGAAATATAGACTAAAAGGATAGGTCTCATTCATGTTTACAGAGTATTTCTTTAAAATAATCAAGCCACATGCTACTTCTATTTCAGGTAAAGGCAAAACATTCTTGCACAGTTGACAAGACATACATGTAATAGACCAAATAAATAAATATGGCAAAAAGAAATTACATTAAAAAAAAAAAATCCTTCCCCACTTTTCTCCACTAACCCCTCATCCATGCCCACCATTTTCTATCCTCAACCCATACCCCAATTATCTAACCCCTTAAAATATGTTTGATATTTTCCCTATTAAGCATGTTATATGATGGTGAGTGTCATATTGCATTATGTCGATAGACCGATACTATATGGTTCGGGGCTTTAGCGGGTCTATTAATCGAGATCAATCGTTTATTCCCGGATGCGTGGTATTCCCATTTTTTTCATTCTAGTTATTGACTTGGGAAGCGGTGAAAAATATTAGAAAAACAATCAAATATCTGTGACTAATCCCCTTCCCCTTCTTTTTTTTTTAGAGTTTTTAGACTTAGAATAAGTTAGAAAAGAGAAAGAATAAAACAGGATTCAACTTCCGTCAAACTTGGACTCGTCGCGGGGTTCCAATTGAAANAAAAAAAAAGATTGATTCGGTATATGTATGTTCCATTTTTATGGATCTCAATTGATTCCTCGTTACTGTTCAGAAGATAAGTAATAGGTAGGGATGACAGGATTTGAACCTGTGACATTTTGTACCCAAAACAAACGCGCTACCAAGCTGCGCTACATCCCTTTCAATTGGTCTACAGTGTCATTGTAGAGAATCTCTGTCTTGTTTTCCACATTTTTGATTTATTTCCTCCATTGGTATACACAAATTATCTTGCCATTTCTTCTTTTTGTCTCATATCATATATTAAACTATAATAAAAAGACTTAACAAGCGGTTATTAACTATATATACATTTGATGGTATGTAATACCATTATGTATTCCAAATTACTATAAAGTAGGAGGGTTTTA